AAAATAAATACTGAAGAAAATAACACCTTAAAAAACAGACTAGGCCAAATGGTAAAAAAAAAAAAAGTTACTTCTCCAACCATCTCCAAATAGGAGAAGAATGCCTTAAAAAGCAGAACTGGCCAAATGGAAAAGGAGTCCAAAAGCTCAATGAAGAAAATAATTCCTTAAAAATTAAAACAGAGCAAATGACTAATGACTTTATGAGAAAACAAGAAATCATAAAACAAAACCAAAAGAATGAAAAAAATAGAGGACAATGTGAAATATCTCATCAAAAAAAAAATGACCTGGAAAAATACATCCAGGACAGGTAATTTTAAAATTATTGGACTACCTGAAAGCCATGATCAGAAAAGTCTAGATATCATCTTTCAAGAAATTATCAAGGAAAAATGCCCTGATGTTCTAGAACAACAGGGTAAAATAGAAATTGAAAGTCTACTGATCACATCCTAAAAGAGATCCCGAAAGGAAAACTCTTAGGAATATTATGTCCAAATTCCAGAATTCCCAGGTCAAGGAGAAATACTGCAAGCAGCCAGAAGGAAACAATTCAAGTATGGTGGAACCATTGTCAGAATAACAACAGATTTAGCAAATTCTATCTTAAAGGATCAGAGGGCTTGGAATATGATATTCCAGAAGGCAAAGGAGCTAAGATTACACCCAAGAATCCACCTACCCAGCAAAACTGAGCATAATCCTATGGGGGGGAAATGAACATTTAATGAGACAGAGGACTTTCAAGCATTCTTGAAAAAAGACCAGAGCTAAATAGAAAACTTGACTTTCAAACACAAGACTCAAGAGAAGCATGAAAATGTAAACAGGAAAGGAAAATTGTAAGGGACTTATTTAAAGTTAAACTGTTTACATTCCATTTCATGGAAAGATGATATTTGTAATTCATAAAACCTTTCTCATTATTAAGGGAGTTAGAAGAAGTATATATATATAGACAGAGGGCACAGGTATGAGTTGAATATGAAGTGATGATATCTAAAAAAATCAAATTAAGAGGTGAGAGAGGAATGTACTGGGATAAAGAGAAAGGGAGAGATAGAATGGGGTAAATTACCTCACATAAAAGAGGGAAGAAAAAGCTTTTACAGTGGAGGGGAAGAGAGGGGAGGTTAGGGGGGGGGAGTGAACCTTACTGTCATTAAAATTGGCTTGAAGAGGATATATCTACCTTACCCTATAGGAAAGTAGGGGGGAATGGGGATAAGAGAAGAGGGGGTGATAGAAGGAAGGTAAGATTGAGGAGGGGGTAGTCAGAAGCAAAACACTTTTAAGGAGGGACAAGGTGAAAGGAGAGAGAATAGAATAAACAGGAGGGGAAATAGGATAAAGGGAAATAGTCTTTCACAACATGACTGTTATGGAGGTGTTTTACATGACTATACATATATAACCTATATTAAATTGTTTGCCTTCTCAGTGGGGTGGGGATGGGAGAGAGGAAGAGAGAGAATTTGGAGCTCAAAATTTTAAAAATGAATGTTAAAATTGTTTTTACATGTAACTGGTAGAAAATAAAATACTAAATAAATTTTAAAAATATAAAGCTTGCTGGAAAAAAAATGGTTGTGGTCACTCATAGACCAGAGCACAGGCCAAGAGAGTAGAAAACACCTCTCCTTAGATCATACCACCTTGAAAGAACTTAAAACTTACAGGTACCTAGAAGTATCTCTGAAAACAGCTGCATAAAACCCCTGAAGCTTAGAACAGTGTGCCTGCCACTAAGGAAGCAGAGCCCTACTTTAACAAAGAGTTAAAAGTCAACTAATAGACGTGGAAAATGAGCAAACAATGGAAAAACTCTGTTGAAAGTTACCATGGTGACAAAAAAGATTAAAACACTCTCAGAAGAAGACAGCAAAGTCAAAGCTCCCACATCCAAAGCCTCCAAGAAAAATATGAATTAGTCCCAGGTCATGGAAGAGCTCAAAAAGGATTTTGAAAATCAAATAAGAGAGGTAGAGGAAAAATTGGGAAGAGAAAAGAGAGTGATGCAATAAAATCATGAAAAAATGAGTGAACAGCTTGATAAAGGAGACACAAAAAATACTGAAGAATAGGCCAAATGGTTTAAAAAAAGGTCCAAAAATCCATTGAGAAGAAGAATGCCTTAAAAAGCAGAATGGACCAAATGGAAAAGGAGGTCCAAAAGCTCAATGAAGAAAATAATTCCTTAAAAATTAGAATGAAGCAGATAAAAGTTAATAACTTTATAAGAAATCAAGAAACAATAAAACAAAACCAAAGGAGTGAAACAATAGAAGAAAATGTGAAATACCTCATTGGAAAAACAACTCACTTGGAAAATAGATCCAGGAGAGATAATGTAAAAATTGAAATCTTTTACAGTGGAGGAGAAGAGGAGGGAAGTGAGGAGTGAGCGAACCATACTCTCATCAGAATTGGCTCAAAGAGGGAATAACGCACACACTCAATTGGGTATAGAAATATATCTTACCCTACAGAAAAGTAGGAGAGGAAGGGGATAAGAGAAGGGGATAGTGATGGAAGGGAAGGTAGATTGGGGAAGGGAGTAGTCAGAAGCAAAATACTTTTGAGGAGGGAAGGTGAAAGAAGAGAGAGAATAGAATAAATGGAGGTGGAAGGAATAGGACGTAGGGAAATACAGTTAGCATTAGTAACTGTGAAAAAATTTTTGAAGCAAGTTTCTCTGATAAAGGCCTCATTTCTCAAACATATAGACAACTGAGTCAAATTTATCAAAACAAGAGCCATTCCCCAATTGATTTATGATCAAAAGATATGAACAGTTTTCAAGTGAAGTAATCAAAGCTATCTATAGCCATATGAAAAAAATACTATAATTCACTATTGATTGGAAAAATACAAATTAAAACAATTCTGAGATACTACTTCATACCTATTAGATTGACTAATAGGACAGAAAGGGTAAATGACAAATGTTGGAGGAAATTTAGGAAAAATGAGAATTTAATACATTGTTGGTGGAGTTGTGAACTGATTCAACCATTGTGCAGAGCAATTTGGAACTATGCCCAAAGGGCTATAAAACCATGTATACCCTTTGACCTAGCAATAACAGTAGTATATTTGTATCACAAAAGCAATAAAAAACAAAAAGGAAAAGGAACTCTATGTACAAAAATATTTATAGCAGCTCTTTTCTAAGGGCAAAGAATTAGAAATTGAGGGGAGACCTGTCATTTGAGGAATGGCTGAACAACTTGTGTTATGTGATTATGATGAAATACTATTGTACTATAAGAAATGATGAGCAGGATGCTCCCTGAAAATCTAGAAAGACTTGCATGGGCTGATGCAAAATGTACTGTGTGCAAAGTAATAGCAATATTTTTTTTATTTTTATTTTAAGTAACAGCAATATTGTAAGATATGAATGACTTAGCCATTCTCAGCAATACAACTATTCAAGACAACTCTGAAGGACTTATGATGAAAAATGCTATCCATCCCCAGAGAAGGAAGTGATGGTGTCTGAATACTGATTGAAGCATACTTTTTTTTTACTTTCTTTTTCTTAAGTTTTTTTCTTGTTTATGTTTTCTTTCACAACATGACTATTATGGATATGTTTTGCATGACTACGTATGTATAACCTATATCGAATTGCTTGCCTTCTCAATAGGGTGGCAGGGAGGGAGGAAGGGAGAGAATTTGAAACTCAAAGTTTAAAATGTTAAAATTTATTTTTATATGTAACTGGGGGAAAATAAAGTACTAAATAAAAAGAAAGTGGGTCTATTATACACAGAGTTGTATTCACATATAAGTCATTCAGGCTATATCAGGATACTGCAATAAATATTTATAACCCCATAATACCTAGAATATCAGCAGTGCAACAGTCTATTCTGAGACAGATGTTGGTGTCAGATGGCATCCATATTTCCTATATCAAATGAGATAATATTTGTAAATGTGTCTACTATGTACCAGTAGTAGTATTACTACAATTACTATTGTAAAAGTGCCTACCTACACACAAGGTACTTAATAAATGCTTGTTAATTGATTATATTAAAAATCAAGTGTGCTGAACTTAGGTTCCAAACCCAGCTCTGCCACCTACTATTTGTCAGACCTTGGATGATTCATAAGCTCTCTGAGCCTTTGTTTCCTCATCAGTAAAATGAGATGGTTGGATAACATTCCCTCTAAAATCTCTTCTAACTCTAGATCTTTGATCCTATAAAATTCCTGTCTGCTGTTAAAAGTGTGTCTACTTGAAGGAAGATGGCTGAGTGACTGGTTGATTCTCAAAAAAATCCCCAGCCATATGATACAACAAAAAGGAATATGCCAAATAAATTAATTTTAAAAGCAAAAATAAGAGAAGACAGGAAACAGATTAACATAATATCTTCTGAAATTAAAGCAAAAGGCATCATAGGTCTCCTAAAAAAAGCACAATAAATTAAAATTATTTAATACTATGTTGTAATAATTTTTTTTTAATATGTTAAAGTAATGGAAACAGAGACCTAGATACAGACGGCCTCTATGGTCCTTTCAGGCTCTAGTCATATGATCCAATGAGACAAATAGAATCCATATGTCAATGCCAAAGAGAAACTCCAAATTCAAATTATCAGTAAATATAGTGATTAAACTTAAGAATTTCAATATCAATGACAAGTATTGTAGGCATCTTTATGTGACTTAAAGGAATTCAACTTCAGTTTCAGATTTCTCAGATCCACTGATGTGCTGCAAAAATGATCTCCCTATAAGTACTGAAAAAAAAAGACAATTTACATTAGAAGGGTGGCTTAGTTTAGAAGTGTTAATTGATCAACAATTTCAATTCATAAGATTCTGATCATTTGCATCTGATCCAAAGAGAGATTCATGGAATAAGTTTTCTCTTGTAAATTGATTAACCTCCCTAATAACAAATAAGCAGAGTCAAGCACAACAAATTCATACATTGGCATGTCTAAAAACATATGCCCCATTCTGTACCTTTGCTTCATCATCTCTCTTTCAAAAGGTGGGAGCATGCTTTTTCCTTGATCTTCGAGGGTCATGGTTGGTCATCCAAGTTTTTAAGTTTTTCAAAGTTGTTTTTCTTTAGTCTTGAGAACTACTGTCATAGAATATTGAGTGATCCTCTATGGAGAGATATAGACAAGAATCATACAAGATGAGAAGGAATGGAGGGTTTTGGTCTACACTGGGCAAGAATACCAACACGAGAAATTCCAGGTGTTTCAAAGGTTCATTTTTACCAGCATAGTTAAATATGACTAGATTTACTCTTAGAATAGTTATTTAACCCATGTGTTCTTCAATAAAGTGAATACTTCTTAAAATAAGTGGCAATAATGTTATTAGAATTAAATCAATCAATCAACAAATATCTATTAAGCACTAGCTGCCATGTGCCAGGTACTGTGCTAGGTACTAGGAATATAAATAAGAAAGACATCAAAATTATAAAATTTTATATTTGGTAGGAAATTTACTTCTGCTTGCTCTTCACATCCAAGGATTCTCTTACGTAAAATCAATGAAAGACAGACAGGTAACTTCTTAAATTGTGCCAGTCAAACAGGCCTGCTAGCTATTCCCGATATACAACATTCCACATACTATATCTGCTTTCCACAGGTGTTCTTCCATGTCAGCTCTGCACCCTCTCTTCATCGCTACCTCTTCTATCTCTCTCTTCACTTTCTTCAGATCTCAGCTCAGGTGCCATCTCCTTTATGAAGTTTTTTCTGATCCCCCTAGTTGGTAGAGTGGTCTCCCTCCTTGAAATTATTGTGTGTTTCTTTGTGTATACTTTATGTTAGCTTATCTACATACATGGTATATCCTTTACAAGTGGACGTAAACCCCTTAAAGACAGAGACAAGTTTATCTTTGTACTCCCTAGCATCTAACACAATTCAAGCCACTAACAAACATGTGTTATATTAAATTGAAGGGGAATTCTCTAATTGTAAAGCAGCCTCATCCAGTCTTAGTTCTAATTGTTATACAGTTCTTTCTTATATTGAGCCCACACCATGACTCCCAATAACTTTCAATCAGTGATCCTAATTCTTTGGGAGTAACAAAGAATGTGCCTACTCTGTCTTCTACAAGACAAATATGCGTCCCTTTATATCTTATTTTGTATGGGCTAAGCAGACTCATTGACTTCAACTCTTCATCATGTGACCCCTTACCTTTCTGGTCACTATCAATGCTTTTGGAATGTGAAGCAGAAAACTGGACATCTACTCCATTTGTGACCACCCCAACCCAGAGTTTCCAGAGACTACTGAAAGGCAATGTGGCATAGTGGCAAAGAGCGCTGGACTTGGAATCAGGAAGGACTGAGTTTGAATCTTCCCTCAAACATGTACCATCTTTGTGACCCTAGGCAATTCATTCACCCTCTGTGGGCTGGAGTTTCCTCATCCATAAGATGAAAGGCTCAGACTCAGGGACCACTAAGGTCTAAATGGAATGATCCAAGAGCAAAACTTGATTTTATCTGGATATTTTAGTTCGTTTACTACCTGAGATTGCATTACATTTTTGGCTTTGGTTTTGATTTTTAAGCAAATTTTTTACTTACATTTATGACCAATTAAGAGCAGTAAGTTTTGTTTTGTTTTGTTTTTCCTCATTAACTGCTATCAACCTGTAACAGCTAATGTGTGAGGCAGCCTGATTTTTAAGGTCAAAGAGGCAGCTAGCTAACTGAGCAAGTACATGCATAAATTTCAGGAAAACTTGCCGTGGCATTTGAAGTAACTTCTGAATTTATTATAAGATAATGTGTATTTATCTGTTGGACAATGTTGTGATAAGGATAAGAAAGATGGAGGACTCTGTTCTGAGTTCTTTTGAAGACCAGAATAAATGAAAAAGCGACATTATTGCAATCATTTTTATTGGGAGGAAATCTGTATCAATAACTTTAAATGAAAACAGTTCCACAAATGTTTATTAGGAAAACCTGAAACACATGTGAAACATTTCAGTAAACCCTGTTCACCAAGCAATTGTTTATTTTGTTCAACTCAACACAGCTACACTGGGACCAGGGCCAATGTTGAGAAAGTTGTTCAATAAATCCCAGGGTGTCTTTCCTGTTACACTTTGAAACCCTGTTATAAATGTTTCGTACCACTACCCCCCTCACCCTGCTCATGGTTTGCCCCTCATGAGGCAAATCTACACTTCAGTTTTGATCTGCTGTCAACAGACAAATATTTTGATAATGTGCTGAGGGCAAGGAAGCACCATTTACTATGGTGCATTTGGGATGCAAAGAAATTACTCTTCAGTACCCTGCTGAGTCAGGAAAGACAACAACATACTAAAAATATTTTTAATACAAACATAACACCAATATTTGTAAAGGACAGTGACTGGGATCATGGGAAACAGGATCTGATTTCATCCCCTGAAATGCTGTTACTTCATTATAATGAGCCAAACAGTTGTAGTAATTTAGTATTGGGATTTCCATCCTCACAAAATATATCACTATGAAGGATATATGCATTTTTGTGTGTCAAATTCCCATGATGCACTCTTTACACAGTCCATTCATCTAAATGTGAAGAAAATATTAAGATTTACCATATTTGTTGTTGCCGATTCTGTTAAAATGCTTGGCCTGTAGACATATCATCAATTACCGAAAAAACCAGAATTTCTCTGAAAAGTCTGCTTCCTACATAAAAAGCTTTTCCCCACCCGGTTTTGCTTTCCTTCTTCTCTCTCTTTTTTACTCTTTCCTTTGAGAAAATGGAAGTTCTGATGCTCTCATGCCCCTGGTGAGTTCACTGTCCAATTATCTATCATCACCCAGCTGTGATTCACACCCTGAACTCACATTTAGTGGCTTCAAAATTCACCTCCAGCATAGTTCAAATGGAATGAGTCAAAGGGACACATCATGGGTAATTCTAAGCACACAGATGTTCAACAGAGACAAGTTTAGATCTGAGCTTGGAAATAGTATGACATTTGTAATCCCAGCACACTGTGGTCTTTAATAACAGAGAAGCCATTTAAAAAACACTAAATATGTGTTCACCTGTTTGTTCTGGCCTGTAACATTTAAATCCACTATGGATAATTTTCCGATAGCATCACAATTTTATCCTGGCCCAGTGGCCACATACTGCTTTACTCTCTTAATAATAAGCCTAAAAATGAATCAGCTAGAGACTCAATGGGTCTTCCATAGTGTGTTCTATTTACAACTTTTGTAAATTTTCACACTCCATAAAATGTCTTTGTGACATTTTAAAAATAAAATGAAATTAAAGAGTCAATAAAAGGAGAATGAATTAGACTAATATTCATAATCACTGGGAAACAATGTAAAATGTCTCGATGAGAGAAAATAATGAAAAAGAAAAATAATAGAGAGCTCTTGCCAAATAAGCTTTAGAGCATAGACTGACCTGGAACCCTCATGAAGAAACAAGTAAGAAACCTCTCAAGATCATGAATGGATATTTGCTCCACTTTGAATCTACTCAGAAATCCTGAAGAAGCTAATATCTTATCCATCATCTCCAGTTCTCTTTTAATTTTTTATTTATTTAATATTTAATTTATGGAATAAAATAAGCACTTCCATAACTGTAATTAAAAGCAGTAATTAAAAAAAGATTATATGTTAAAAATAATTTCACAGTTCTTTAGAGAATTCTCATGGAGTTCTTACCTTTGAGAAATGGAGTTTCTGAGAATGAGGCACTTACTTTACTTATCAGGTTCCCCAGGAGGAAAAATATAACTTATTTCATCACAATTCACTGAGCTGGGTTAGAATTTTTCTGTGGTGGTTCAATAGAATGTTATTAATGGGAAAATCAATAGAAGTAGAATCTCGTGCTTGTCAACAGATATTTTAATGCTAAGTAACTTGAGCATCAGACAAACTCATCTTGTGGAGGTCTGATTAATTTGAAATAGCAAAGAGCATGAATGCCTGGGAGGGAAATGTTTACAAATATTCAAAAGCCATGTCTTTGCTGTCATGATCTTCAGGTACTTTCTTTTGACTAGCTAACATAAATTATATACAGAAAAGAGAACCATGACCAAAAAAGAATAAAGAATATAGCATTGATGATTCTTACTTCAGTACTTTCAGTTTTTGTGATTTTTGCCAGTATAGGAGCTACTTCCACTGATGTGGACTGCCATTCCCTACCCCCATAACCTCTTGTAAGATAAATATCCAAGGAGGCTAGACAAGGTAACTTTATCTCTGTTTACTTTTGAAAGTCAATCAACAAACATTTATTAGACATCTACTATATGTCAAGAGGTTAAGTACCTCAAAGCCTCAAATCTCAAAAGTAGCTCTTCTTGGCTTCCCTCTTGTAATAGAAGTTATTCCATCCCACCATGGCCTCACCTTCCTTACCTCTTATCTTGTCTGTACAATGATGACTCTATTGAAATGACCAACCAACATTTTAAAGAAATAGAGTAGGTTAGTATGTCTTGATGCAAGGTACAATAAGCAAAACCAAAAGAATAATTTAATGATTAATAATAACAGTTAACATTTACTATGTGCCAAGCATTGTGCTAAGTACTTTACAATTATTATTTCATTTGATCCTCTTAGGCAGCACCTAATTATAATCCCCATTTAACAGTTGAGGAAACTGAGGTAAACAGAAGTTAAGCGACTTACCCAGGGTCATCCACCTAGTAAGCATAATATAAATGAAAAGATCACTAAAAAGGAAACCAGACTAACAAACTGGTGAAGGTCTCAAAGCACAGATAATGAATGATGCACACCATCTTTCTTCCTTCCTCCATGGTAAAAGGTGAGAGGCTAATAAGTCACAATGTTGCATACCTATATCATCAGATTGATACACACATTGTCAGATATCATTACTAAACTGGATGTTTTGTCTTGTCACTTGTGATAATTTAATTTGAAGAAAAAGCTTTTTTTTTCCAGAAATGTCTGACATAAAGACCAAAGACATCAATAACACAAAAAACAAATAAAATGAAATGAAATTAGGATAATAGCACCTGCAGTGCTTATCTCAGATGACTATTGTGATAAAGATGAGATAAAGCTCTTTCCTGACTTCTAAATGCAATATAAATGGCATATAATAGGAGCATCCATTACATTAGCAGAGGAAAAAAAGAAGCATCCATAGTGTAAGGGTCTTTAAGATGAAGAAGAGTCTATGGAGTTGTTGGAAACATAGGAGAAGGCTATCTAGAAATGTTTCTGCATCTTTTCAGATCTAAATCTACTATTCCAGCACAATTTATACATTTAGATACTACATGATTTTTATTGTTCAGTCATTTGTCATGTCTGACCCCATTTGAGGTTCTCTTGGCAAAGGTACTGGAGTAGCTTGTCATTTCCTTCTCCAGCTCATTTTCCAGATGAGGAAACTAAGGCAAACAGGGTTAAGTGACTTGCCCAGGGTTACACAGCTACTAAGTCTCAGAGGCCAGATTTGAACTCATAAAGATAAGCCTTCTTTACTCCAGATCCAGCACTCTATCCACTGTGCCACCTAGCTCTCTACTCCATATTAAATGACACATACGTTTGTAATAACCATCAGTGCGGTAGCTGACCTTGATGCAGTATTTGTCCTCATTGAAGGTATTTGACAACATGGGTGAAAACATCATGCTAAAAAGTATGGGAGCAAGCACACAGCCTTGTTTCACTCCACTGGGAAAACACGAGCACACTGTCCATTATCCAGAACCCAGGCAAGCATGCCACTATCATATTGCCATAAAATACCAGTGAATTTCTCCAGGCAACCAAATTTTGATATAATTCTCCATAAGCCCTCATTACTGACAGTTTCAAAGGCGTTGGTCAGATTTACAAATGTTGTTTATAGACCTCTGTTCTGCTCCTGGCATTTCTCCTGAAAGTGTTGGGCAGCCAACACCATATCAACCATTCCTCCGGCCTTTCTGAAGCCACATTGGCTCTCAGGTAGATGACCATCTTCCAGGTGAAGGATCAGTCTATTAAAGAGGACTCTGGCAAGAATCTTGCCAGTAATGACTAAGATAGACACCCCCCTGTGATTGTCACAGGATACTCTATGTTCTTTACCTTTATAGAGATGGATATTGGAGGCATCCTTGAACTTCTGAGGGATAACCTCATCTTGTTATATAAGCCAGAAAATCTCAGTCAGCTTTTATATGAGCAATGGACCCCCTACCTTGTAAATCTCACCTGAAATAGAATAAATACCAGGTGCTTTGCCACACAAAAAGGACCTAATGGCATTCAAAACCTCTTCTTCAATTGGAACTTCAGCTAGGGAGGGATTAACTTCAACCTGAGACAAATGGTCAGTGGCTTCAGCATTGATTGATGATGGTCTGTTGAGAATGCTATGGAACTGTTCAGTCCATCCCTCTAAGATCATGTCCTTATCACTAATCAATGTGGCTCCATCAGCACTGGGTAGTTAAGATGCACCATAGGTCTTTGGCCCATAAATAGCCTTCAGAGCATCATAAAAATGCTTTGGATTGTTACTATCTGCATAAAACTGAATTTCATCTGCCTTCTTACTGAGCCAAGAATCCTGCATCTCTCTAAGCTTGACTTGTACTTTACTTTTGATGGAATTAAGTGCTGCCTTCTTAGAGATAGATGAATTATCCTGCTTGTAAACTGTAGAGGTCTCGTTTTTCCTCTGGCAGCTTCTGAATTTCACCACCATTTTCATCAAACCAGTCTTGATGTTTGTGAGTGTTCTACCCCAGATAATGCAGTGCTATATACCAAATCTCTGAAAGCTGCCTACTCCTTTTCTGTTCCACTGTTGCTAAACTGTGTGTTGCCTCAACTTTCCCTACAAGTTAGCAACAAATCATTCCTTCTCAGAGAAGCATTCTTATCTGTTGACACTAATTCTTCCGGTAGTCATTTTTGCCTTGGGGCCTTTGCTTTTGTTAAAAGTGAATATTTAGCCTGGAGAGGATAGGTCCATGATCAGTCTAGCACTGAACCACACACTGCCTTTGATACTCTTATATCCTGTCTGTCTGTTCTCCTTACAATCACATAGTCTATTAAATGCCAATGTTTGCTTCAAGGGTGTATCCACAAAGTTTTATTGCACTGAGGTAAATGGAAAACAGTGTTGGTGATAAGAAGCTCATGAGATGCACAAGTCTTCAGTAGTATGTGACCATTGCTGTTACTGTTTCCAACTCCATTCCTCCCTAGGACTCCCTGCCAAGTCTGGTACTTTGAGCCTACTCTAGCATTAAAGTCACCCCGAATTATAAGCGTGGCCTTTTTTGGCACATTGATGATAATGATATCCAGCCATGTTGTCAAATGCCTTCAATGAGGACAAATGCAACATCAAAGTCAGCTACCACATTGATGATAAACTCTTCAACTTAAAATGGCTATAAGCCAAGACCAAAGTAGAGGGAGTGATAGTGTATGATTTTCTGTTTGCAGATGACTGTGCCCTCAATGAAGCCTCTGAAGATAAGATACAACAAAGTTTGGATCAATTCTCTGCTGCTTACGCGAATTTTGGCCTAACAATTAACACCAAGAAAACACAGGTGCTCCATCAGCCACCACCACACCATCCACACATGGAGCCATCAGTTACAGAAAATGGGGAAGTTTTGAATGCTGTGGATAAGTTCACTTACCTTGTACTTTCCAGGGACATAAATATTGCTAACGAAGTTGCCACACTCATTGCCAGAGTCAGCTCAGTGTTTTGGAGGCTTTGAAGGAAAGTGTAGGAGAGAAGAGGTATTAGATTGATTACCAAATTGCTGACCTCATTATTGTACACCTGTGAAACCTGGACAGTATACCAGTGGCATTCCAGGAAATTGAATTGCATCCATTTGAATTGTCTTGGGAAAAATCTGAAGATCACCTGGCAGGATAAGAAACTAGACACTGATGTTCTTTCTTGAACTAAACTGCCAAGCATTCAAACTCTACCTCAGAGAGTGCAACTCCAGTGGGCTGTCCAAGTGGTTCAGATGCAAAATATATGCTTGCCAAAAAGATTATTTTATGGAGAACTCACACAGGACAAGCATTCACATGGTGAACAGAAGAAGCAATACAAGGATACTCTCAAGGTCCCTCTTAAGAACTTTGGAATTGATTGTGTGACATAGGAGACATCAGCATAGGACTGCCCAGCATGGCATGCCCTCAGCAGAGAAGGTGCTATGCTCTGTGAGCAAAGCAGAATTGAAGCAGGTCAAAAGAAACACAAGATGCACAAATTTAGAGAATCCACCCCAAATGTTCACATGGACTATTTATGCCCAACCTGTGGTAGAACATTCTGAGCTAGTATTGGTCTGATCAGCCACAGTCAGACACACTGTAACTTAACTCTAGCACAGTGATGTCATTTTGGTCCTCTTCAAGAATGAAGGACAACAACCAACCAACATTTATAATAACAATTGTGGCCCTATGACGGTTTATGGGAATTTTTTAAAAATGCACAACACTTTGAAATAAACATTGCACATTATTCAGGAGTTGTCTTTCTATGCCATGGAGGATTTCTTTATAGAATCAATATCAATATCTTTTATCAATTAAAAAAATGCATATTGTTATAGGTTAGATTTGAGCAAAGCATGTCTTCTTACTCCTCTCCACAAACCAAATATCCCAAAGAGACTTCCAAGCTCATTTTGCAGCTAAAGTACACCACATTCCTTCAACTGGCACCCTGAAAGGCTGCATAAATGATGTCATGGCTCTTGGCCAACAGCAGAGCTTCATCCAAATACAGCAATGATTACCTGGGAAAGCATGTCAAGAAACTGTTCAGGTTCTACTGGTTTCATTTTTACCCCAGCAGAAATCCTTCTACCCCAATTTGTAGAGAGATTAATTATTGTATACATAGAAGTAATGTGGGGGGAAACTCCAGAATGCATTGTGTATGCCTTTCAAATTTCAATACCCAACCCATATTTCTATGTGTTTTGCCTAATCACAGGCATTGCTATGCTGTTGTTACTCAATAATATTTTTTAAAAACCCAAATAATATAAAAGAAGCCATTATACTTTGTGCAGTGCCTCTTATTTCCCTCATTTTAGACATAGCTGCATTTCCTAGTGCCTAATTTCATAGCCCACCAAAGACACTAGATTCTCAGACATGCTTTGCAGTCTCACAGTTTAAATCCATGGTAGCCTGGGAACATCAGTCTTTTTATAAATGTCTTTGTTGTGCTGTGATGTTATTTCCCTTTTTCCTCTAAGGTACTTTCCTAATGGAATCACTCTATGTTTCAATACCTCATAATACATTTTTTTATAGTTTACAGTACCTGATACCCAAAGTACCAAAGACCTTAAACTGAGATAGTAGACTCAAGACAAAATCCTTCCTCTCCCCTGAATGGAATCCTGCCATATTAGGTAAAGAGGAACACATGACTTCATAGTACATGCAAAGAACTAGAAAGAATGTTAGAGCTATGACTAATTGTTAAAAGGCTAAAATAGATAGTGCATTACACCATGTTAGGTCAACTCACACAGTTGCCAGTCAAGAAGCAAGACACTAAGTGAGTAGGTTATAGTCTCTTCTGTGAGTGGGTCTCTACAGTACTAAATTAAGTCACTTAAAAGTGTATTCTGACACAATGTAGGGTGGACTATAGCACCAGAAATTTCTTTCTAAAGGTGACTCACTTTAGCCACTACCAACATTTAAATCTGAGATGATTCACAGAAGGAGTTAAACATTTTTCACACAGTCAAATAAAGTCATGTCAGGTACTGTGAGGTACATCCCAGGAAAAGACTATGGAGACATGATAATGATACAGACCTGCCCTGCCTCCAGACACATTGGGAATATATCTGAGCAATGTGGAAGCTGAATTCTGGAGAACCTGTGTATGTCACATTTTTATATTGTGATAAAATGAAAATGTGAATAAATATGTTATTTTTAAAAAGTGAATCACAAAGTTAAAAACAAATAAAAGGAGAGAAATTTGAGATTAAACTATCAATAATGTAAGCTCCTTGACAGTAAGGATTGTTTCATTCTTTTCACTTGTATCCCTAGTGCCTAATATAGTACTCAGCACATAACAATTGTTAAACAGTTTTTTTTCTTGACCATCTGACATACATTATCAATTGTTTTCAATTAAACAAACATTTATTAAGTATCTACTATGCTTCAGGCACTATGCTAGGTGCTGGAAATAAAAAGACAAAAAGGAAATTGTCCTTGCCCTAAAAGAACTAGTACTTTACTGAGGGATACATTTTAGTAGATAAGTAACAATGATGATGATGATGATGATGATGATCATTATAGCTAGCATTTATATAGCCAGGTGTTATGCTAAATGCTTTACAAATATTGTCTCACTTGATGTTCACAACAACCCTAGAAGGTAGTTGTTGCTATTATTCTCACTTACAGTAAGGACAATGAGGCAGAAAGTGGTTAAGTAACTTGCCCACAGTCACACTGCTAGTCAGTATCTGAGGCTGTATTTGAATTCAGGTCTTCCTGACTCCAAGTCCAGCACTCAAATCCACTGTATCACCTTAGCTGTCTCTAAGGTAAATAAATATAAAGTATGTACAAAATAATTTCAAGAGGGAAAGAGCAATAATGATTGGGAGCAAGGAGGGTAGCAAAGGTTTCATGTGGTAGGGGGTAACTGATCTTTGCTTTGAAGGAAAGTAGGATAACTTTAGGAAGTTTAGAATACTTTTCTAGGTAAAGAGAGTAAGAAAGGCACTATAGACAGTGATGCAATACCAATACTGAAACTGTATTCACCAAATACTATAGCATCTAAATTTTTAAAAGAAATGTTAAATGAAGTACAAGTGGAGATAGGTAATAATACTATAATAGTGGGGGACTTTAATCTTCCCCTCTCAGAACTAGATAAATGTATCCAAAAAATAAATAAGAAAGTCAAGGAAGTGAATAGAATTTTAGATAACCTACATATGAGAGATATCTGGAGAGAATAGAATGGAAATAGAAAGGAATATACCTTTTTCTCAACAGTTCATGGTACCTTTACAAAGCCTGACCATTTTTAGGATACAAAAATTTTATGTCCTAAAAGTTAAAAGCAGAAAAATTAAAAATATCATTTTCAGATCACAATGTAATAAACATTTTGTTTAATGAGGGACCAAGGAAATGTAGGTTAAAAACTACTTGGAGATTAAACAACCTAATCTTAAAGAATAAGTTGATTAAAAAACAAGTCATAAAAATAATCAATAATTTCATTAAAGAAGATGACAATAATGAGACAACATATCACCTATAAGACTTTTGAGACAATATATCTACCTATAAGAGACAGCAAAAGCAATAATCAGAGGCAAATTTGTATCTCTAAATGCTTACATCAATAAAATAGAGAAAGAGCAGACCAATGAATTGGATAGGTATTTTAAAAAACTAGAAAAAGAACAAACAAAAACCCCCAATTAAACACTAAATTGAAAATCCTAAAAGATAAAGGTGAGATTAATAAAATTGAATGTAAAAACTCAGTGAATTAATAAACAAAAGGAGTTGGTTTTGTGAAAAAAAATAATAAAATAGACAAACCATTAGTTAATTTGATTCTTTAAAAAGGAGAGAAGAAAACCAAATCACTAGTATCAAAAATGAAAAGGATGAATATACCACTAAAGAAGATAAAATTATAGCAATTATAATTATTTTGTCCAATTGTAAGCCAATGAATTTTATAATTTAATTAAAATGGAAGAAATATAAATACATAAAGAAGAAATATAAAAATATAAATTACCTAGATTATCAGAGGAGGAAATGGAATATCTAAACAGATCTATTTTAAACAAAGAAATTGAATGGGCCATAAATGAGCTTCCAAAACAGAAAAAAGCACTAGCACCAGATGGATTTCAAAGTGAATTCTATCAGACCTTTAAAGATCAATTAATTCTAATATTAAATACATCATTTAGAATAAGAGGCAAAGAAAGGATTCTACAAACTCCTTTTGTGAAACAAATATGATACTGATACCTAAACCAGGAAGAATAAAAACAGTGAAAGAAGATTATAGTCCAATTTCATTGATGAAAATGGATACAACAAATAAAACACTAGCTAAACAATTACAACAATATAATGCAAAATTATGCATTATGACCAACTAGGAGTTATACCAGGAACACAGGGATGCAAGGAAAGCTATTAACAGAATTGATTGTACCAATAATAAAAGTAGAAAAAAAAGCATATGATTATACAAATAGATGCAGAAAAAGCTTTTGATTAAGTACAACATTCATTTGTATTAAAAACACTTGAAAGTATAGATATAAAAGGATTTTAACTTAAGTTGATAAAAAGCATCACCTAAAAGCAACATCAAGCATTATTTTTAATGGGGATAAGCTAGAAGCTTTCCCAGTAAGAGCAGTTGTGAAACAAGGATGCCCACTATCACCAATTTTATTCAATATTGTATTGGAAATCCTGGCAATAGCAATAAGAGAAGAAAATGAAATGGAATGAATGAGGTCTATCTCTTTTTGCAAATGATATTATGACATACTTGGAAAATCCCAAAGACTCAACTAAAAAGTTAGTTGAAACAATCAATAATTTTAGCAAAGTAATAGGATATAAAGTGAATAAACATAAATCATTAGCATTCTTACGCTGAGTTCAAATCTGGCCTCCAACCAAACACTTGAAAGTTACTAGATGTGTAACCCTGGGCAAGTCACTTAACCCCTAATTGCCTTAAAAAAAAGAAAACAAACCAAGAACCGCCTTGAATGACTAAATCATTTTGACTATTATAAATACCCAAATTAGCTACAAAAGACATATGAAGGAAGATGATATCTGCACCCAGAAAAAGAACTGATAAATAGAAGCATGTATACAATGATTTTACATATATATAAATATGTATGTCTAGTGGTAGCTATCTTGAGTGGGAGGAGAAAATGAGGGAAAAAAGAAATTTACATGATTATGTATCTAAATTACTTTATTATGTATCTAAAAGGAATAGCAAGTTGTACATAATAGATTTGCAATTTAATGTGCAATTATATTTTTTATTATACTATGTTATGGAAATGCTTTTTTAAATTCCATTAATTAAAAATAAAAGAAAGACAAAAAAATAAAAGAAAGTACTTTCCAATCATGAGGGACCACCCGGGGAAAAGACAAAGAGGTGGGAGACGGAACATGGAAGTATGAAGTACAGTGTTCTAAAGTCACTTCTTTATTACAAAAAGTTGTTCTAGAGGAAAATTGTTTTGTTTGTATCCCGAGCAGTTTTGTGCATAAAACTGTTCAAATAAAGGTGATCTGAGGGTATTTACGATGTTCAATTTTCCTCTGAAGTATATACTTACTATGACTAATACTCCAAGTTTAATTCAAATGTTAAAGTGAAAAATCTCGATTTATAAAAAGGAATCCTTTCTTGATTCTGGTTGGAACATGTGTCCTGTGCCCGAATGCTGTGAATTCTTCTGGGACTATTTAAAATTCCATAGTTCAGCAACCCTTGAAAAATAGTTTCTGTGGAGTAGTAAACTTTCTGTTTTCTTCTTAACTTTTCTACATCTCAATGCAATTTGTATCTCATTCTTCCCTATTCCTCCCTCTCACTTTTATACTCTTCCCTTAAAAAGCATCAGATTGGGTATGAAAAGATTAATAGCAGAGAACTTACAGACAAGAAAAAGAGAACTGACATAGAGAAATGATAGAAAGATAGATATAGATAATAGGTAATAGAGGGATAGGGAGATGACAGATAACAGATAATAAAGATGATAGGTAAATAAAGATGATAAATCAGATGGGTAAATAGATGATAGACAGAAATGATACATATAGAAAAAGATGATAAATAGATGCTAGAAATATGATTGAGAGATAAAGAGATGATAGAGATAGATAGCTGGATAGGTAGATGTTAAGTAAGAGAGATACAAAGATGATAGATAATGGAGATGATAAGTGATAACATATAGGATGAGTGGATGGAAGAATAGATGATAGATGACAGGGGAATAGATGTTAGAGAGATGATTGAGAGATAGATAATAGATGATAGATACATACATACATTAATGCATACATTCATAGATGAATATGTAGATGAATAGACACATGTGTAGATAAATACATAAATACAAATTAGAGAGATATACAGGAAGATATCAAGAAAAAATGAAACATTTTAGGGATATTCATGGTATCTATGATTTGTTTAGTCTTTAATAATTTATTAAGCACCCTCTATATGCAAGAAACTGAGGATATAGAAACAAAAATATTAATTCTGATCACAAATTTCACTCTGATTCGCAAGCTTTGTGTCCCAGCTTG